TTTTCAAACCTTTTGACATCCATAACCTTTTCCACAGCATACCACTGAACGTTGGTGGTGTATCATTTACGCGCATTTGTGTATGATAGAAATCGTCCATCAGATTGATCGCAATTAAATAGTACTGCTGACAATTCCATCAAGGATGTTTATTTTGCCTGGGGCTGGAGTCCGCGCTGGTCAGCGAGTTGATTGGAAGCATAACTATCCACCATTTACCATTTGCCTCTGTGACACAAATGGTAGGTTTACAGTGCGATGACTTGCTCTTACGCAGATGTCCTGGTTTCTGTCGCTGCACAAAGAACTCGCCAATTGCAATGATCTGCTTTATTAGCAACGGACATAGTCATGTGATGCAATACTTCGTACCAAAGTATGTCAATATTATGACTAATGCCTCTGTCAGATTGCAATTCGTCCTTCACCTTGCCTAAAAATATTTTTCTATTTTATAATATTGACAAGTTTGTACATGGCAGTAATTTAAACAGTATCTCAAGACTGCAACTCAAACCTCTCAAATCTTAGCTTAACATCCAACCATTCCACATCAGAACTTGATGCAATGTTGATGACCTTTTAAAAGAGCTTTTCGAATAACACATGCGCCTGAAAGAAGCTGCCCTTCGTCAGGCTGCGTTTCTGTGTGTTCTAGATTATTGTTGGCGCGGAAATGATTCGTCGACTTAATTGGGAAATTTTTAGTCTTCACAAGACGGGTAACATCAACGACACCATCTTCGTTGCAGACCAAAACATTTACTGATTCACTGTTTCCGCTATACTTTTGGACACTTCTTTCATTGATTTAATTCATATCCTGACCAGAGGCACGCAAAATAACGACGACAAACCTTCTTGTGGCCTGCCTTTTCGTCTCTTGAATGGGCATTTGCCTCTGCCCCCACTATTCTTCTTACTGCTATCGTTCATGTCATTCATGTTGATGGCAGGAAATACTAGTTTTATGGCGCCTGGCTGCCTCACTTCCAGTTATTACTGTTCAGTAGTCTTTTTGTGCTTATCATGTGAGTATGAGGGGCCATCGCACACCACAATATCCCTTAAAGCATCTGTGACTTCTTGAATAGATGCATACAACTACACCGTTCGTTCGTCATCATGCAGCACACATCAGCGCTGTACGACTCTTTAACGACGATCACATATTTTATCCGGTCAATGCTAAAATGATAACGCTTCGACCATGACATACATCAAATGATATCAAATTTGTCATCGATGTCGAAAAGGAAAAACACGTCTTCGTCTCGACAATCCCCAAATTTTTTTGCCAAGCGAATGGCTTGCTCACGGATCTTTATTGTAGATCCATTTTATAAAGAATGATCATTTCTCTTTTCACATTTAGCAGGCTAATACTATGCCTATCCATAATTTGCTGTCGATCAATGCTGTTCAATCTTCAGTGTCAATCAAAGCTCTTGCGGTATATCAAACTATCTACGAAGGCGTCTTAGACAATCAAAGCTCAAATTGACCTGACATCGGCATCAAGCACATAAAGGGTAGAAATCTGCGTACCCGCAACATCCAAAGTACTCATCTTGGGCCAAGTGTAAGCTTTGCCCCTACTAGCCGTTCCCGTTATTTTACTCTTGCAAGCGTTCGAACCGATGACGTCCGCCGTCATCCGAGTGAGCACGCTGTGTTTGTTGCTGACCCGGCAAGGACACTCTGCAGTTCCAGCAATATAGTCCGGATTCTGACTACAAAAACATTCTATAAGGTTTAGAGAACGCTATCTAGGCGTGGAAATGTCCGATTTGTCCGTTGCTTTGAACTTTAACAAGTAGTAGTCGGCGGACACATTACTCTTGGCACAAAGCTAGCCCTTGGCCGACTTGATCCTGTGCTTTTCTTGCATCGCACAGTTGATGGATTCGTCCTGCGTCTCGAGGCACACATGGAAGAGTTGATACAAGATCGGCCCGTCGTAAAACCCCGCCATAATTGTTACAACTTGCGCTGAAATGTCAATTAGCTCATCAACAATGCTCGATACCAAATAACAAGCACAATTGTGCACACAAGTGTAGGTCGTAGTGATCATTGCATAGCTTCAAGAACTCGACGCGGGCTCAAAACTCACCATGTGGCTGTTCAAATGCCTTCTTTAGCTCAATCTTGAAGCGTCTCACAGGTAAGATAGCAGTTTTAATCGGCTCAACGCGTAAAATATACCCAAATTTTGCACGACTCGCAAGATTGGACATTTCTAACAAAACTTGCCGCAAAAACCTCACAGTCGTCTTGCAGTCCCAGCTTGACAAACCATCGTGAAAGAGGTTACATATCTCCGCAACGGTACAAAGACAGGTTCAACATCAGAGGCATCGTTATGTGAGAAGAAACAGGCATCGCGATCCGCTTTCTAGACTCAATCATCTCATGGTGCATGAAGCTGAAGACAGCATTCTCTTGATCATCCGGAGAAGACGACTGCAGTAAGCTGACTACTGATGACTTCTCACATTCGCTATATTACCATCCACTCACGCGACGACAAATTAACAAAAGATTCATTTTATTCGTCAGCACTTCCGTTTGCGGTACTGATGGACCAAGTCATACTTCCTACTCCGTCCATGTTGCTCGAAATATGACAAAAATATGTCTCTGACTGAAATGCGGGTCATATAGTTTTGCGCCGTCAAACCGAATTGAGAGCCGTTGGAAAGACTACTACAGGCGCTGTTCACAATCGTCCCACATGACAGACACGTAGGTGCGACGAGTAAGCGATTCTCCACGTGCAAGAAAAGACGGTGATGTCTCAGAGAGAAGAAAAACGACGTGAGGTCTGAAAGCAAATTTGAAATGAGTAACGGTTTCTGGAGCTACATGCAATACACCGCAAGATTTTTTAGAGGGTTAATATGAGATCATATAAATCTGGCCTACACAATTAAGGATGTACTGTGATCAAACCTCAGCTTAAACTTGTGCAAGATCTTGAAGAGCTTGACTTCAACTTATGTAAAAGGTCTGAGCAGAAATACCGTCTACTTCGAAAGACAGAGATACGTTGGCCTCTTCACCAGTACTAATCTACACGTCGGAACCAGCATTCTGTATCATTCAGAATACTCATCACTTCATAGAGATGTCACATATGCATGTAAGGACACTATTCTGTAATTTTTTAATTATTTTTATGATGCAAGTAGAAGGTAGATGTAGTATCATGTAATGACTAATTGGAGCCCTTCCCGCAGCACCATGCAGTTTCCCAAGTTTTGTGATGACAAGTACATGTCAACACACAACAGGGCATACAGCTAGGAGTTGACGTCTATTTAAGCATTGCTTTGATGGATCCGTGATCGTCAGGACAAGAGCACTGCGGGGTAGATAAGAAAAATCAAGGGCCCTTTTCGGGCTCCCAGCTTCTATGTCGAGACGTAAAGATTATTTAAAGGTTGCGCAGATATACGCGCCAACCAAGACATGCAGCGCCGGGCTGAGAGGTGAAAAGGGGGCCTTTGCTGTTTTCATCCTGTTACTCTGGTGGATATATAAATTTGATGTTATGTAGAGCTTGATGCAAAAACAATCCCTGTGAGCAGCAGATTTTTGTACGAAAGAAAAATGAACGAGCGCAGAAAACTGAGAAATTTTCGTGCGTAGACATCATATTGAAACATCGCGCTGGTACCTTAAATTTTTTTGGTCAACGCACAAAACATATAATTATGAAAGTCAAAACCAGTTAGAAGGGGTAGTGGAACGAACCGGGACAGCGAGTAACACACATTGCGACCGATCATACACTTTTTGCCTTCGTTGCGGGCGGCGCTTGGATAGTATCAATTTGACATGTAAACTGATGGTTTTATACATGTAACGGGCCTCAAACACTGCGTATGCGGACTCTGATTTTGGTTTTATAGGTTTTTTAATGAATTTACGGGGCAACCGTTTTGAATATAATAGGCGGCGAGTTGTTATTACTGATATTTCAGGTTATCGAAGAGTGCAAGACAACTTTGGGTCAGAGCTTCCTTCCGCAACTACCAACGATAATGCTAGCAGAGCGTTTGATTATGTGAAACATTCGTAGAAAGATCACGCCTGAAAAAGACCGACAACTGGAAGGCAAACACTGATAATACAGTGCATATTGTACTAATGCAAACCGAACAATTAAGATAGTAAAAGTGAAGAACACCCACAAAGATGCCCCACGAAAGAGTTAAAAGCAGAGCGCGAAGTTATTCAAGAGGACAGCCGCAAAACTAAGAAATTATACCCTATTAAAAATATGTAGGGAAATTCTTGCCGCTACCAATAGTCTACATCAATTCGCGAAACTCGTGAAAAAACGCTGCGTCGGCGCTTCTTTTTATCTCTGCACAACATGATGGAATATCCATAGTACAGTAAAACCTGTCTAAATTAAATATGTTGGGACTGGGAAAAGTGTTTCATTTAAAGAGGGTTCTGAGTTAAACAGGCTTAACTTAGACAGGTTCTACTGTATGGTGCCCAACATGAGTCCATATCATTTGTTCAATTTAGAGAGGGTTTGTAATTAAACAGGTTTGTTTTACCAAAGACCCAATAAGCTTTGCGCTGAAAAGCTTTTGATAAACCTACTGGTCAAAAGTAAGAGCTGATTAATTAGATTATCCACATATGTTTGTAAAAGTGATTGGTTGGAGCATGAAACAAACATCACTCCAAAACATATTACGCCGTAGACCTTAGACAGCGCTCGATGATCATACGATTGCTCACATGCAAGGCCCAAATATGTTTGAGGCGCTGAAAAGTGCTTCGTCGCGTTTGGAGTCGAGGCATGCTGTGTTAATTCCACGGGCGCTAGAATAAATCCAAATGGCTCTATGTGTGTAGAGGGCAACGACTTGTCAATTCGTTAAACTCCTCAAGAACTGAGTCGTACACAGTAAAAGAGATTTCTAAAGATGCATTTGAGGAATGATTAGCGTTAATTCGTACATGACGATATCATGCTAGAGCGTTTGAATTTGCGCGGTGGGGCCGCATGATACTTGACGCTCTGAATCAATAAATTGCCGCAGTAGCTTCGTATTGTACGACATACAATTTTCATATTGGCACTGGCAAAGCAAATCATGTAAGTTTCATTTTCACATGAACCAACAGCATCGATCGAACCTTGTGATAAACGAAGTGAAAATTGGTCGTAGATTTACGCTCGCAGTCGCTACAGTAGATCAGCGACTTGTAATCTTGATATTCCATCGGCATTCGTTCCCGCTCGAGCAGCTCATCAATGCTAGCAAAGTAAAGTTCCATATCTCCCAGTGACTTCGAACATAGCGGGCAAATGTAATTAGTCTGCAATCCAACATCAATTGTTAGCTTTATAAATCAATTCACTTATTAGTTCATACCAGAGTGTACTCTTCATAGCAAGAAACATGCATACAATGGCCACAAGGAAGAAACATGACGGGTGTCGTCGAGGTGAACATGTATGCGTGACAGATAGGGCAGTCCGATTCAAGAGACCGTTCCACGCACTTGTGCTTTTTCAACGTGATGCTCATGCAGGCATTGCAGCGGTCACAGTGAAAATAGTCGATGTCCAACCCTTTGCCGATGCGGCATATTTTGCACTTGTCGCAATGATAGATGTCTTTGTTGCGGTCATCATCAATAAAACGGCATACCTCGCAATAGTATCGTCCAAACTCACAGTTGCAATCCGCGTTCACACATGTTTT